ATAATAAATAGTGGGGAACAGGCCATGTATTTGATGAAGAGCTGATGGGTATCTGGGAAAGTTTGGAGGGAGAAAATAGAAGAGAAATGTAATTAAATTATAATCTCAAAAATGAAAATAAAAATGATTGTCAGAGTACAGATTCCAACTCAAGTTCTCAGGAAATGATTGGAGTAACTCTGTTAATCCATGGGTATTTTCCAGTTTCAGATTTCTGATTCTAAGTATTGAATTTTTTGGTGATTAAATAATCTCTTGAATCATAAATGAATTAAAACAGTTTTTATTTTCTACTAAAGATAAAATTTCTTTTACATGTGTCTTATGAACATATGATTGTGGAATATACTAATTAAATCAAGAGGCGGAAATTGATGCGCTGCTAGCTGGGAGAAACTGAATTGATTCTTGATCAATTCAAGATCTAGAGGCAGGGCAGAGAGGACAGAGGTTTGAGACCTATGTAGGGATGTGGGGCACAGAATTTCCTGGGACATGGAGATGATTAAAGGTAAGGAAGGTTAAGAAGAAAGGGAGGTCTTACTTTTTTCTCCTTAATACATAATCCATTCTGCCTTTTCTGGACCTTAGGAGGCATATTTTCTTGCTGAGGGGATAAAACTTCATGCTGTTTGTTACAGCTGGTATTTTCATGTTTGTCCTAAAATTCTGTCCTAAATACCACATTAGACTTTTCAACTCTGGCTCCGATTTTCAGTCCTGCCACCATACACTGAGAAAATTGGACTATGGTGATATTTTGTGACTTGTGAAATAATTGTGACTTCCATCTGAATAACTACATAAGAGAATCACGCCTGGCCAGCAGCTCTCCACCAGTGTTCAGGCATTCCTCTCAATCACCAGTCTCAAACACAGATGATTAACCAACCAACATGCTAGATCCTTTCCTGGGGAGGTTGACAATGAATGGAGGAAGATGAGGCGGAGACAGGTGACTGAGAGCCATAATACAGCCTAGCACTAGAGAACTGGGGACATAGAACCAACTATTACAACAACGACATTTAAGGGCCACCTCAAAACTGCTTGCAAGGATTTTTCAGTATGCAGAAGGCTGGGCCTACTCTGCAACTGAGCAAGCAGCATAAGTAGCCCTGATGAGACTGTCTGTTTGAGAACCACTGAAAACAGTACCTGCATGTTTTTCATCTTTGCAGCTGAAGAGATTCACTAATACCTCTCTCTTCTGTCTGTTCTGCTTGAAGAGTATTAATATTTTATCTCTGTATCACTGCACAGTCACCACCTTTCTCCTCAGTCTACAGATACAATGCCTAACATCAAATAGTTATGGGGAGAGGAAAAGGAGAGAGAATAGGATCTCAAAGTGAAATGAGATTCGCCTTTTGGAGAGCAATGCAGGAGCTGAGCAGCCAGCCCACATCATAGTGAGCAGATTTTATATTCTGAATGATGTTTCTGAGACTGAGTTGTTTGCAACTTTTCTTACATGGAGACCATGAATCAAGACCTGGATGCAGTCCAGGGTCCTCTTTGTCTAAGGGTCACAGCTATTGTCAGTCTTTAAGATTCCCTGTAAGAATAGCTCAGCAGATGAAACTGAGAAGCCCCCAGTTTCATGGAATCTAGGGGATGTTCCAGAGTGCAAAAGAAAATGGAGAAGGTCCCATAACTTCACACGTTAGGGTGAATAGTCTGGTTCTCTTGTCCCTTCAGCTGATGGAAAACACAGAAATATTCAGGTTCCTATGCTAAAAAAAAAAAAAGGGTGAAAAGCCAACCTGGTCCTCTTCCTTCAGTAAAAGAAAATCCACTTTCTGACTTACTGAGAGAAAGTTAAATGCGGCTTATGGTATTCAGTGTTGAATTTGCTTCTAGCTAGACCGAAGGGCAGTCAACTGGATCTTGCCTTTCCTTATAGACAAAGAGGGGAAGCAGAGTTCTCCTCTGCAGGAGTCCACACATTCCTGACTCATGAAAAGTTCAGTCAATTCTGATCTTCAAATGTAAATGACAAAGATGAATGAATCCTAGGTTGGGTTTCTGCTTTCAAAGAAGGGGACCATGAGAGCCTTGTTTCTGACTTCAGATTATTTGGCTTACCAGGGAGGAATAATTTTCATTTTTATTGATAACCAAGGGAGCATTAATATTATCTGTGTGGGCACAGGTTTTGAGCCTGTCACCAAGGTTGTCAAAAGCATTTGCTGTGATGTATGACAAGATCCACAAGGTATGTGTCACACAGAATAATATAAAGCACACTCCATCCTGTTCTATGTAAACCCGCAACATTTTGCAAGTATTTCACTTCTTTAAAATACCCTTCTGCCAAGAAAACCACCAGGGAATAGATGTCCACTTGAGTGAAATTCCCTTTCACTTCACAATTTGATATTTTAAAAATTAATTAGCTTAATTACTAATTAATTTGTTAAAAATAATCAACAAAATTAATTAATAATAAAGTAATTGCTTAATTAATTAGTTTTAAATAGTTTAAATAGTTTTTAAGGGGATGTATAATACCAATGCCTAAGAATGAATATTTTGAGAGCATAGTACAATCTTTTTTTTTTTGTTTGTTTGTTTTTTTGTTTTTTTGAGACAGGGTTTCTCTGTGGTTTTGGAGCCTGTCCTGGAACTAGCGCTTGTAGACCAGGCTGGTCTCAAACTCACAGAGATCCGTCTGCCTCTGCCTCCCAAGTGCTGGGATTAAAGGCGTGCGCCACCACCGCCCAGCCCAATCTTATTATTTTTAAGAAAGAATTTAGACAATGTCAGACTTATTTAGAGATGCACCAGGAGCTGGCCAGTTGGCTGCCTCTCACATTGCAGAGAGCAGCTTCTCACTGGCTTTTGAGCTGGCTTTTACAGGAATGGTTAGGGTTGATAGAAAACAGCCGTGGGAAGAAAGGAGGCAATAAACTTACATGAAGAATACATTATATGGGCGGGGAGTCATCAAGGTATCTGGAAAGACACATTTTCCTATGACAAAGGGGAGCTGTGTATCACAGGTTCAGGAGTTCAGCCAGGCAAAGGGGTGGCCATACAGACTTCTTTTTACATTGATAACATATAATTTAAAATTTTAATTAGGCAATTAATTATTTATTTACTTGAGACAGTACCTACAGTGTGGCCAGGGCTGGCTGTCCTGGAACTAGTTGTATGGACCAAGACTGCTTCAAACTCAGAGAGAATCACCTGCCTTTGCCTCCTAAGTGCTGGGATTAAAGGCATGTGCCATCAGAGCCAAGTACTCATAGTCTTTAAGGTACAAAATTCCCTGATAAATGGTTCTTTACTTAGGAGAAATAAGCAGTCAAGTGTGGGAAAGGAAATACGCTCATCTTTACAGACATTTTCCTCTCCATCCTTCACAAGTGGTTTGTCACACTACAGATACTCATAGGAATTCATATCATAATCCTAACAGCTTACCAAAACGACTAACACCTTCAATTCCATCAATAATGGCTTTGAAATCCAAATTTTCTTCCATTCCAACCTGTGAAAGAAGAATGACATTATGAGAACAGGATCCAACAATTAGCTGACTGTTGCACAAGGAATTCCAGTTTAAGTATAAAGAATAGTATGTTCCGAACTCATCCCACCTCAACCATTGTTTTCTTTTCTTTCTTTTTTTTTTTTTTTTTTTTTTTGGTTTTTCGAGACAGGGTTTCTCTGTGGTTTTGGAGCCTGTCCTGGAACTAGCTCTTGTAGGCCAGGCTGGTCTCGAACTCACAGAGATCCGCCTGCCTCTGCCTCCCGAGTGCTGGGATTAAAGGCCTGTGCCACCACCGCCCGGCTCAACCATTGTTTTCAAGAGCAAGGTACAAACAAAACATAAAAATCAGGTAACTCTTTATTTTACACTCTGAAAAGTAAAATGGAAAATGTTGTGATTTAGTTACTTGCTACTGAGTTGGGATACTCTTCATGGACAGATGGGCAAAACTGTGTACTTAACCTGTCCACTTCAGCTGGAAGAAGCCTTTCCAGTGAATGAGTATGAACCCCCTCTTTTAAACATACCAGCCAGGGGTCACCCTTCCTGGAAACGACCACCAATGACCATTAAGGTGGTGATGTCTCCAGCTTGGATTTATATTAACATTTACTCCTGACAGTTCTACATGTGTGTAATAATTACCTCAAATAAAACAGATAAAGCCCTCAGCCTCCCCTTTCCTTTAACTGCTTCCTCAAAACTTGAAAATCGATCCACATCAAAGCAGTAGACTTGCATCTGTAAATGTAATGATGACAGTTTTGTTAGAAGCACTGCATGAAAGTCAACAGAGACAAAACAGAGAAGCTGACAAGTCAGCAAATTCTACTGAAAAATTCTACAGACTACATAGTTCTATATTCTCTGCTTTCCCCAAATAATTTCTCAGTAACACATATACTTAAGTAAGTTTTCTATCATTTATATCTTTGAATATAGAAGGAAATACAGACTCTTTCTAGGACAGCATGTATTACCAAGGGAATAGCAAAACATGACAGTAATAATTCACTAAGTAATCATTGAACCTAAAAAAAATTAACAAAGGTTCTTTTAACTGTTTTACTCGAATCTACAAACCTGTAACTTGCTGTTTCTTGAGTAAGCATTCCTTTCTTGCTGGCCCATTATTACAATTTTGGATATTATCTCGGGATATTTACGGATGTTACACTGAAATTCTAAAAGATTCTACTTGTACTTAAAAATGCTAAGTGTTTCAAGCTTCCTATTGTAACGTTTGCTGTGCAGCGAGCCCGTTGAGTGTCTACTCTAGATGCTCAGGCACGACAGGCTGTATTCAAGCTTTTAATGGATTCTTCGCTTATGGGCTTAAACCCAGGTAACTGAGCTATATAAATGTTGGGCACATAGCCAGAATGTCTTGTGCCCACAGATTTCCAGAGAAACCAGGAATGTTAAGCACTCAGGATTGTCTCTCCAAAGGTAAAGATGAAAAACCTGTTCTTCCATCTAGAAAGCTAAGAAATAGAAATGTTTAACAGCCTGGTGATCTGTATCATCAGTTGAGCCAAACCATATCAAGCTCCTACACCTAGAACTGGAAAAGGTTAGTAATGACGCTTCTAGCCAGAGGTTCCCCAAAGCTCCCTCACCCAGGACCAGAGGTGACTAGTAGCCCAAATGATGTCTAAGCAATGTGCATGACTAAGCCAGACATTTAGAATTCAGCTGTCACAGGTAGCCTATTTCTAGAACCCACAACATGGAAGAAATGACATGAACCCTGAATTGAGTTTCAATATAATTATGTTTCTTTGTGCAACAAGGACTGTATTACACCTGGAAACCTTTTTTTAAAAAAATTGTACGGAACTTAAATACAATGGGAATAAATTGCCCGATCATAGGCTTCCCACAGTCTGATCCAGGTTGATGAAGTCAATCTGCACTGAGTTTTCATTGCTATCTCTTCACGTGGTTCACTTCCCCATACGACACCTGCAGGGACCCCCCTCATATAAAGGTAGAACTCAGGCAAGAGTAGAAAGCCTGTGAGAACTCTCAAGTACTGTAAGTGGAGAAATGCCATGTTCAGCAGGACAGCTGTGGCTATGGTGTGCCAACAAGGGCATCTATGCCAACAAAGGACAAAGAGCTTTGAGTAAGTTGAGATGGGAAGGGATTGGTGGGTGCTCTATTGTTCTAAGGAAGTGCCCCCAGAAAAATGTACACCAAGAAAATATAAGCATGGAAAACTGAAAGTCATTTTATGTGATATCAATGGATCATTGTAAGGGAGGAGGCTGGAGAAGCAGGCAGTGGTCACACCATGAAGCCATGGGAAGTTACCAATGTCATTTAGGAAACAGACATAAGGATGGGTGCTATGGGATAATGTCCTTGTACACTGTGAAGATTTGTCACTCATATTGGTTTAATAAAACACTAATTGGCCACTAGCCAGGCAGGAAGTCTAGGTGAAACAACCAGACTAGAAGAATTCTGGAAAGAAGAAAGACAGGGAGTCAGTAGCCACCCAGACTCAGAGGAAGCAAGATGAGAATGTCTTACTGAGAGAAGGTACAAAACCACATGGGTAAACATAGGTAAGAATTATGGGTTAATTTAAGTTGTAAGGGCTAGTTAGTAATAAGCCTGAACACCAGGCCAACTGGTTTATAATTAATATAAACCTCTGTATGTTTATTTGGGACAGAATGGCTGTGGAACCAGGCAGGACAGAAACTTCTGTCTACAAATGGTAAGGGATAGGAATGGGTATGGACTGAAGGAGGCTAAGATAAAAGAAAAACTAATAATATATTGACATTTAAAAAGTTATGAAGAAATAATCATGGTTTGAATTTGCTTTCTAAAACACATATAATTTGTAAAAAGAATTCAAAAGACTTGGTTGTGGAATGTGGGAGACAAAGGAAGGAAGGAAAGAAGGAATAGAAAGAAAATTTCTAGGATCCTTCTTTCCATGAACAACAGCATGGAAAATACTTCTAGGATTCACTTATTTTAAAGATTTATTTAATTTTGTTTTGTGTCTATGAATGTTTTGCCTACAAGTTTGTCAGTACACCACACGTATATCTGGTGCCCAGGAAGGCCAGAAGAGGGCATCAGGTACCCTGGAACAAGACTTATAGCCACCATGTTCTGAGCCACCATGTGGGTGTTGGGAACTGAATTTCAATCCTCTGCAAATGCTTTTATCCACTAAGTCAACTCTTTGAACTTTATTTATTTTTATTTTTTATTTTCATTTATTTTTATTTTTATTAATGCTGTACTTATGTGTGTGTCTATGTGGAAGTAGGTGCATGTGGGCATAGTTGCTAACAGAGGTCATAATGGGGAGTTGGATTCCTGGACCTGGAGCTACAGGCATTTGTGAGTCATCTTATAGGTGCTGGAAACTTAACTGGGGCACTTTGCAAGAGCAGCACACAATTCTTAATCCCTGAGCTATCTCTCTAGCCTGAAAAATATTTTTTTTAAAAGCAGCACAGAAAATAAAAAGCAAGCAAGCCAACAAACAACTCTTCTAAAAGAGTCTTTAAAGAGTTTCTCTAGATAAGAGTCCTGGCTATTTTGGAACTGACTCAGTAGATCAGCTGGCCTTGAACTCAGAGATCTACCTACCTCTGCCTCTGGAGTGCTAGGATTAAAGGTGTGCACCACCACCGCCCAACATCGTACATTCTTTTGTATTTATTTTGATTGCTTAAAAAAGTAGATAACTGTACAAAAGCTTAAGTCATAGAAGCGAGATGCTATGTATTTAAATTGTTGGTATTTATTTCTTTGACACATTTAATACATATAAATTTATTCCTGGATAGTTAATATACAACCCCTCCTGGTTATAGTTCACAAATGTATTATTCACATTTTAAAAGACCTTTTGGTTCTTCAACAAAATTCACTCTAGCATTGTTTTTATTACTAATAACTATTTTTGAATTATAAAAAGTAATACAGTTTCATTGTGGGTAATAGAGGATTTTTAAAGAAGCAAATATAAAAGGCATTTATAATATTATCATTTCAAGAAACCCACTGTTCACCTTTTCATGGCTTCTCTGAAGGATTTTTAAAGAGGATTAAATATATTCCCTCCCTTAATTAACTCCATACAGCTGGTACTAGTAGGTCTGTTTCAAAGGACAAAAATAGAAGAATATACAAATTGAATGATTTGTCCAACACCATGTCACTAATAGAGTCTGGTCCATTTGGTCCAGTCTCTGTGTAATTAGTTTTCATGTTTTGCAAAGTTTGCTGGTCAGGTCATTTTATATTCTTTTTTTCCCATGCATTAATAATATAAAATATTTTGTGATGGGAGGGTATGAATTCTCTCTCTCTCTCTCTCTCTGAGAGAGAGAGAGAGAGAGAGAGAGAGAAGATGGCATGCCATGGTGTGGGTATAGAGGTGAGAGGACAGTCTTGGATATTGAGTCTTGCTATCTACCTGTTTGAAGCTGGGTCTCTGTTGCTTTCCATTACTTATTCCAAGACAGCTGGCCCAAGAGCTTCTAGTATGTCTGCTTTCTGCCCCTCCCCCTTGCTATAGGAGCACTGGAATCACCTGCTGAGCCATCTCCTCACCCTCTGAATGAAACTTTCTGGGGAATTATATCACTCAAAACATGATTTTTACAAGGTCTGAAATTTCATCATAAGGTTCTTCATCATGCTCTTTGTTTCAATATTTAATATTATATAAAAATCTTTACACAAAAATTGAGTAATTTATATTAATCAATAATTAATTAATCAAATATTGTTGCTACAATCCAAATTATAAAATACTAAAAATAAACAATTAAAGTTTCAATACAAACCAAACTATTTTCCAGAAAGCTTAGTACTTTAGAAACATATGGAAGTTTTTAATATAAACATCATTTATCATACTTATAACTCTTTTTTAGTTTTAAGCATAAGATTTTTCTCATTTTAATTAACGGACTTAAATGCAAGCATTCTACGGTACTTTGATTATATCACCAATTTGATTATTCTATTCATTCAATTTCTCATCTGCATTTATTGATAAGCTAGTCAAGAATAATCTGGGTATCTATGTAGTCAATCTAAGTAGAGGCTAAAGATGGTCACTGACTTTACAGTCTTTTGGAAGGAAAGCATATATTGATCAAATCATCAAAACACAACTGTATGTTCGAAATTCTAAACTAAATAGTAAGTCAAATCCTATACTAGAGAAAATCTCATAGATGTAGACAGTAGGCCTGAAATGAGCAGGCTGCTACCTTACCTCAAGAGGGAACTTCTGCCCTTCCAAACTGTGCTCTGACCCTTCCGACGACGCATTGCATTTTCCCCAGTGAAAAGTTATTTTGCTTGCCTTGAATACCTTTTCTGAAAGTCCTCCACTGAGATAATAGTCATTAGTGAGATTTATTTCCACTAAAGCAAAACAAAACAAACAAAAAAAATCTAAAATACCAAAAATTCATCTAAGTTTCTCAAAACCAAATTTATGAATTTTTACCGAATTTCCTTCTACTTAAGGCACATGATAAAACATACTTGACAACTTTAAGAGTTTTAAAGCTTTTTGAATTTCAGTTTTGCCCTTATACTAACATACTTAGTACATCTTATTGCCACAAATCAAGGACACTGAAGACATGACCCCTGTTTGGCTCGCATGGCAGGACAGCCTGTTTGGTCTACTGAGACTGTTCTTTCATCAAAGCTCTGCTGCCTCAAGGGGCTTGATAACAATGACGGGATGGACTTAGGAAAGGCAGTAGGAGAGCTTCTCACCCTACATCTTCTTGTTCCATCTAATTCCTACTTTCAGTTCAGCCCGCATCTGGCTCCACAAATTGTCTTAGGCAAGCCGGTTGGGAAACCCATCCAAATGAGAGGATTCTGCCCTTCCACATTTGAACTTGGAGTGTTTATCATTAGAACCCCAAACTCTGCCACGTCCCACAGATTTTACTGGCTATAGTTTTACCATTAATCTGAAGGGTAATGATTCTCTGGTGAGGTTAGTGCAAGATTATAATGTCTCTCATTCAGAGTCAAGAAGACCTAAGTCTGATTTAAGTTGTCCTTCTTCAGCTAAGCAGAAATCAGTTGGTATTGGCATCATTGATTAAATCACACATACCAGCTAGCCAGCTAGTGATACATGCTTCCATTGATTATGATAATAAGAGAGTCAAGCACAATGACAATAATGAAAATAATGGCAGTCAACAACTACCGTTTATGAAGTACCTAGTTGATATGGATTGTTTTATACCTCTTATCTATCTACTTGATCCTCACATAACCTTAGGAAGCAAAGATCATTGTGATCTCTGTTACAGATAAGGTAACTGAGTCACAGACAAGGTAAGTATACACTATCATTTTAATAGCCACTCATAAACTCAGAGTGACTGTAAGGAATAGAACTTAACCATTACACCCTAAAAGATTGAAGCAGGGATTCATGTTAAAAGTACAGCTTTCAACATTTGCAAAAATTGTATTGTATTTTCAAGATTTGAAACAACTTACTTTTATTATTTGACATAATGTAACATGTCAAAGTTTCCTTTTTAATGTTTTTTTTTCTTTTTTTTGACTTATTTATTATGTATACAGTCTTCTGGAGGCATATACCACACTCCAGAAGAGGACACCAGATCTAATTACAGGTGGTTGTGAGCCACTATGTGGTTGCTTGGAATTGAACACAGGACCTCGGGAAGAGCAGCCAGTGCTCTTAACCTCTGAGCCATCTCTCCAGCCCCACCAACATTTTCTTAACTACTCATTCAAATAATATTAAAGGCCTATCACATGTTAGACACTGATTGAGAAAATTCCTTATTCTCAAAGAATATGAAGTTAAGTTATTACATTTATTAATTACATTATATAAATATTAAATACAGGATAAATGTATTCATTATAAAACCACATTAATAGATCTGTTATTATAATTTTGAATATTTTTCTGATTTTGCAAAAATGTACATTTGCAAAAATTTACACATTTATACAATTCACTGACAAAGTGTTTTGTGTCAAGAAGAAAATTGCCAAAAGGGAAATATTTCACATTTGTAAACTATTATATCTATTCATGGCTTACCAGAATTTTTTTAATTTAAGAAATTACATTTCTTAATAATAATTTATTTTATAAGATTAATATTAATTTAATTAATAATAATTTAAGGAATTACATTTTGCATGTTTTGAGAAAAAATAATCTTACAAAAGGTGCTTGCTCAGTAACTCCTTAAGGATGGATATAATTTTAAATTTATTTCTCAAACAAAAAGCTATTAATTTGTTTCCTTAAATTTATATATAATTATCTCACCACATTCAAATATTGATTATAGCATGCAGCTGAACATCCAAGATCAAATTCTAATGCCTGAGATACAGAAATACTGATCAAGTGTCTGATTACGTACTGAACTACAAAATTTCACTAGCCCTAATTTCATTATCTTTTTCACACATCAAATGGCAAGACCAATCTCATTACACAAATGCAAAGCACGACATGATGATATTGTTAGCTACATTTTTGTACAAATTTTCAAAATCTTTCTTTTTGGCAAAATGTCTAATTGTCTCTATTCCATTTCAGTTATTCTACTATCAGCGTCTTTTCAGTTCCCTAGCATATTATTCAAAGGAAATGCATCTTCTCTAAAAGTATTTTTTGTCTGAAGAACCTGCCACAGGAAAGAGACAAGTCCGTTACCTGTTTTCCCAGTGTTGTGAATGAACGTGTTTTCCAAGGATGCTTTTTCCCATCCCTGAAATTTCAGTTTCTTAAGATTCACATTGACTTGTGTAAGATCTTCATCAATATTAATAGGAGACTGCTTTGGGCTATTACATGTTGGATATTTCTTTCCCCAGTTTTTTTGATTTAGTGCTCCTAGGGAAAAGAAAGAAAAAGAGCATTAGTTTCTTAAATTACCAAGTAAAATCTAAATTTTGACATTATCAAATATTATATGACATTAAAACATATTTAGAATGATAGAAAATGGCTTATCTTCAAAATAAATCATCTAACAATTATGCCTCAATTAGAGGCTAGATTTTAAATACTTCATCATCTCCCATGTCACAAGAGAGTATGGTACAGACTGGGGTTGCCCCAAAAGATGTGTTTACTTAGAATTTCCTAAAATCTTAATTATGTAAACTATTGGCCCACCCATAAACTTGCCAAATTAAGTGTTCATCAATAGCTTGTTTTGGCTGGAGCTTTTCCCGAGTCTTTAGAAAACCAAGGCGCAATAATGTAAGGTAGGCAGTCCCGACCAGCATCCAGATGGAAAGGTCAGGCACTAGGAGTGGTTCTGACACCTTTACCAATCCACATGAGATAGCCTCCTTCAGATCCTCCCTCGTTCCTGCCACCCAAAGATTTGATTTAATTTCCATCTATTCAAGTCTTATTTCTGAAAACAACCCTCAGGCTCCCCTTGTACTACTTGGTCATACAATCAAGTCTTATTATATAACCACATTAAACCAAAACACCTTATCAATATTTCAGTGTCCAGTGAGAGAATTTCCATCTCTTCCACAAAACAAACTGCCCTCAGAATCCAAGTGCCCACATTGCCTTGCTTTCATGCCCATTGGAGTTGTCCATCATCCCCCGCATTCACAGAATCAGAGTGGTGCTAAGAATGGGCAACTTTTACTGAAAGTTTCATTCAAATGTTTACAATAGTGTAAGTCCAAGGCTCCGTCTTTTCTCATTTTTTCTACAGTTATCACAAAAAAGGGAAAATGGCAACATAGTTTTGGCAGATATAATTTTGAAAGCTTTTCTTTCTAAAAGTGTGTATGATTGAAGCCTAGCTGATATCACTAGAATTTTGGGAAATACCAAGTAAAGACTAGTGTTTGGTGCAGCCCCAGCCTACACCACACACCCTTCAGAATGTGAGAGAAGATGCAGGCTAACTTCTGTGTAAACTGAATTGAAAGACCACGTCTCCACAGTGTGACAAAGCTAATTTGCAAAACATCCCTGGGAAGAAAGGATCATTAGTCACACCGTGAGACCGCCTGTGAAGTCCTGGGGAAAGCAGATAATACCGCAGAGTGAGGATTTCACCAAAATCAATAGGTGATAAAAACATACTCCCGACGTTGGCTATATTCCTCGAGAGTTGTTGAGCACAACGTGCTTTCAATATGTACAGTGATGCCCATTTTGGTTTCTAAAAATAGTTTTATTGATTTCAGTAATGATATGTTGCTTTCACTTTGATATGTAGGAACTTTGGCACGGGGACAAGTAAATGCTGCTAATTTTACTAATGTCACAGTCAAGGAATCATACAGAGTCGCAGCATGAATCAGTAAGATTCTTCTCATGACTTACATTTAAAAATAAGAGTCACATAGCCACACTTCACAGAGCATGAAATTTTATGTCTCTGGTAATATTGCATGTGACATAGAAGCTGACTCTGGTTCATTGCATTTCATCAACACTCTGACTTGGATCTTAGCATATCCAAGATGGAACTTTTTTTTTTTTTGGTAGGGCCTCTCTATATATTTAACTCAGGCTGTTCTGAAACTACACAGATCAGGGTGGCCTTGAACTCACAGATATCCCCCTGACTCTCTGTACCTTCAAAATGGAACTCTGGTTTCTGCTCTGAAACAAATTTTTCATACACTTTGCCATTTTCAAAACTTACAAATTATTGACAGGTCTCCGTTTCTGCTTCAGTAAGTCATGGTGGATCTGCCTTCAAAATAATTACACTATCTGTCATCTCTACCATCACCATACTAGCCCAAACCACAGGTTTGCTATACTTAATGTTCCATAAGGAGCCTCCTGAAAGAGGGTTTAAGAAAGCCAGCTCTCTGAAGCCCCGTGACGCCAGATTTGCATTTGAATACAATACCCAGGTAATTCATCTACATGAAATATCCACACTAGCTAAGAGATCTTTAGTTCTTTCTTTCAGCTCTACAGTTACATCTCGGTCTCTTCCACAACTCTGTTCTCTGTGTGTCGCAAGCACAATTATGAAATGTCCCTCCAAATTATCACTATTTTATACCTCATACATTTTGTGCTTAATGGTGGGCAGTCATTCTCTGAATAATTCATATTCTATGGCAAAGGCAATAGCAAGTCACTGCTTGACTTTGGTATAGAAACTTCCTCAGCAATTAAAGATTTTAGGTGTTAGAGATTCTCTGGCTGGTTTTGAAGAGTTGGGTGACCGGACTCTAAGAGGTCGTGTGCCCAGGATCGAAGAGCCAAGGCTAGGAGCTGAGGGTGCACCCAAACTCCCAACCAGAGCAAGTAAACTAACAAAACCAGCAACACAGTTTTCTGATCTGTAAGAAGTGAATTCTTTTAACAAGTTGATCATACTTGGAAGAAGAAGCCAAGAATCAAATGAGACACCTTGTTGTTACACTTGTGAGACTCTGGGCAGAGATCCCAACTAAGTAGGCTTCACTACTCCTGACCCCAAGAAACTAGGAACTAAATTGTTTTTAAATTACTATTTATGTAGTACTTTAATTACTCTACAGTCAAACAAAATTCAGTTTCAAATCTGTGTGTGTGTGTGTATGTGTGTGTGTGAGAGAGAGTTTGAAATAGGGTTTCGCTGTGTAGTCCTGGCTGTCACTGGGACAGCCCTGGAACTCACTCTGTAAACAAAGCTGGCTTCAAACTCAGAGATCCACCTGCCTCTGTCTCTCGAAGTGCTGGAATTAAAGACATGCATCACTACTGCCTAACTCAATAATAAATCTTTAAAAGTACACACACGCTCTTAGTCCACTCCTCCCTTAAATCCTCAATGCCTGTCCATATCACTCAGAAGAGAAGATCGCTGCCCAGGCTGTCAGGTCTGGTACCATTTACATCCTCTCTGCTTTTCTTTCCCACTGTTCTTGGCAACTGTGCTAGAGCCACACTGTTCCAGAGCATGCAAAATCTTGGAAATTACTCTCATCTCCTGGACTGCTCTCCCATATATCTGCAAGGTCTTCTGGTTTCAGTTGGGTCTCTACTCAGATACAACTCCCTAGAAACACTTTATCCTAGCAGCTTCACAAAAATATTTTTCTGCTTTTGGTCATGCTCAGTGTCTTTGGTTTATATTTCTTCTTCTAATGCATTAATGCTTATTTCCTTGTTGTTTCCACACATACTAGTATCTATAATAAATAGTACATAATAGGTGTTCCATAAACATTTGTTTACAAGAAATAGTGACAATTTTATGCACTGGAACTCATAGCAACCAAACATGAAACAGCAAAATTTAAAAAAGAAAAAGGCCAATTATAGAAACATTCCTAAAGTCAACTGTAAATCTTGCTTTTGCTGGATAACAGTAGAGCAGTTTATTATGAAGTTCTGCTGAAAGATACCAGGAAAGAATCAAGGTCTGAACTCTATGTTTTCTTATGTTATAGCACAATGGGGCTGAGCAGCTAAATTGCATTTTAAATAAACACAAACTACAGAGTGTGCATTAGTATGTAATATTTGCTATGCGGTAATTTTTGGAACAGAATATGATCTAAATGACTTCTTAACTTTCATGATGGAAAGGCAAAAGAAAAGAGGCCAGGTTAAAGTTAAGGATTTTATTTTTAGCAAAAATAAATAAATAAAAATAAACAAAAAAGACAAAACACAGAAAAAAGTAACTGAGGAGGCTCCTCATACAGAGGGCTCTAAAAGGCAGGCTGTTTCAATGACCAGGAGCAAAAAAATCAAAACTAGTTAGCCAATAAATGTCAAAGTTCTACACACACACACACACACACACACACACACACACCATGCACACTAAAAGGTAACAAGTATTAAATACATCTTACCTGTCTTAATACTGACAGGTTAAATTACTCTTATACTTAAGCATTATTATGTAAGTTCTCAAGATTTAGTATGCAGTGGTTAAAGCCTAGGATTATGCATCTGAGAAGGCAGGTGGAGCGTGTCATTCATCAAACCGAGTCTCTCTGAGTTGCGTTTGGGCAAGTTGCAGAAGACCATTAGATGATTTACCTGTAGCAAGCACTTCAGAATACTGAATGGGAACTCTAGGTAACGTAGGCAAATTATTCCTTTATCAAATCTTTCACCCATTCATTCCCCACTTGAGTTAGTACCCACTCCCATCGAGTTCTTGGGCTTGTCTACTGGAGGATTTAACAGGCTGTAATTTTTTTCAGCTAACTTGTCTACTTCATGTACACATGATTGCCAAACCAAGTCTAGCATACAGAAAAAGCAAATTAGGAATTTGTAAAATAGTCTTTGTGCATCAGACTATTTGTATACTATGCACTCTCTATTCCAAGTGGAAAGGAAAGCAATTCCAAACTCGGTAGGGGACAGGCCGGAGTTCAAGGTTGTTTGCTTGTTTGTTACTTGTTGGAGGGTGAAGTGTGGGCGGAATGTTAAATAAATCCACGTACGTCTGAAAGGAGGGGACACGGTGAAGAAAAGCGAACAAGAACCGTAAAAGTATACTGGTGTGGGCGTTAATGGACAGACATGATTCTGGCCAAGGGAACCCACATCCTGCTCCACTGAGTGATAGGCCTGAGCAAACTCGGGTGGCAGAGGAATCCAGGCACAGTAGGAAGGAAGAGGCTGCAAAAATCAATGGCTATTATCATAGGCATCTCCTACCACCATGTGGATAGAGTTGACTGTGTCCTGGACTTATTTGAATGTCTCTTATTCAGCACGGCTCTTAGACTTTGATGCAGAGGATTAAACAACTGTTTGTGGAATGAAAACACAAGTCAGTGTGACATCACCACTCAGTCATTTGTGACTACGCAGATTGACAGTTGCTGTTCTAGAGTGTAATCTATTTTACAAAGCACTCTGCATTGCAAAACATTACTTCA